CCTAACTGTATGCTATTTATAAGATGCATACTTTAAATATAATGATACAGATAGATTAAAAGTAACAGAATGGAAAAGTTTTGCCAAGCAAATACTAATCAAAAGAAATCTGAAGTGAGTGTATTATTATTATACAGAGTGGACTTCAGAACAAGAAAAATTACCAGGTATCAGGAGGAAATTACATAATGATAAAAGAGCCAGATGTGCTATACTTAACAATATGGCTCCAAGATTCTTGAAGTAAAAATAGGATAAAATTTGAATATATTGAAGACATATATCTATACACCTCAAAAATTTTATAATTTTTGCTTTCAACAGTCATACATATTTTAAGAAACTTAGGTAAAATAAACTAATCCACAATCATACTCGGAGACATCAACACTCTATTCTCAGTAACCAACAGAACAAGAAGACAGAAAATCAGCAAGGAAACAGAAGAACTAAACAGCACTATCACTGGACCTTACTGACACTTGTCAATGATACTCTGTTGATTTGCTTTAGTCTCCACCGATCAAGAGCAGAATACATTCTTTTTTCAAATGCACATGTAACATTCTGGGGTCATAAAACAAATCTTAGCAAATTTAAAAGAATACAAATCATATAAAATATTTTCTCAGATGATATCAGAAATAAACTAAAAATAAATAACAAAAAGATACTTAGAAAATCCTCAAACATTTGGAAATTAGAGATTGGATTTCTAAATAACCTATGAGCCAAAGATGAAATCACAGGGAAATTAGGAAATACTTTAAATGGAATAAAAATTAAAATCCATCATTTCAAAATTTATGGAACTCAGGCAAAATATACTTAAAAGGAAGTTCACAGAATTAAATACATATTAGGAAATAGGGCCTCATTAATAATCCAAGCTTACAATTTAGAAACTAGTAAAAAGCAATTTATACACAAAACAAGCAAAAGGAAGATAAAAATAAATGGCAGAAATAATGGAATTGAAAACAGAATAACAAGAGAAAAATCAATGAAACTAAAAGCTGATTCTTTGAAAAGATTAACAAAATTGATGAAACTATAGCCAGACTGACCAACATAAAACAGAAGACCCAAATTACTATCAGAAATAAAAGGGGATATCACATATCCTTTCATTATAATAAACCTCACACATTCATGCAACTATATGCTGAATCCCATGAGTTCTGGTAAATATCTGAATGTGGGGATAGTGTTGAAGCCCCCTGAAAGAGAATACTACACAGCAATAAGAATAAATGAAATGTTGGTATGTGCCACAACATGGATAAATCTTGCATGCATTATACTAAGTGAAAGAAGCTAGACTCAAAGTATAATTCCATTTATATGACATTTTAGGAAACGCAAAACTGTAGCTACAAAGAACAGGTCAGTAGTTGCTAAAGACTAAGGGTGAGTGAAGAGTTTGACTATGCAAGGGCACCACATGAAGGAATATGGGGGTGGGCATTGGGAGGTAATGGAACCATTCTGTGTCTTGGCTATGGTGGTGGTTACACAGCTCTATGCATTTACCAAAACTCATAGACTTTTACATCAAAAAGAGTAAAGTTTACTGGAAGTAAATTAAAAGTAAATTTAAATCGAGATATAATCAACTGCCTTTCTGTAAGCAGCAACAAATAGAAAAATTAAATTAAAAACATAATTTATAGAGCCACCAGGGAGGCTCAGTCAGCTAAGTGTCCAACTCTTGATTTTGGCTCAGGTCATGATCTTGGGGTCCTGGCATCAAGCCCCACACCAGGCTCCATGCTTGGTGGGGAATCTGCTTGAGGATTTCTGTCCCTTTCCCTCTATCTCTCCCCTGGCTTATGCTCTCTCTCCCTCTCTCTCTCAAAATAAATAAATCTTTAAAAATTAAAAAACAGCATAATTTATAATAGCAACAAAAACTATTAAATACCCTAAAATAATCCTAATGAAAGACTCTATGTTGAAAATTACAAACTATAGAGAGATTAGAGAAGACATAAATAAATAAATAAATAAATAAAAAGATATATCATGTAGATCTGGTAGGAATTTGAGAAACAAGACAGAGGATCATAGGTGAAGGGAGGGGAAAAATGAAACACGATGAAACCAGAGAGGGAGACAAGCCATAAGAGACTCTTAATCTCAGGAAACAAACTGAGGGCTGCTGGAATGGATGGGGATGGGAGGGATGGGATGGCTGGGTGATGGACATTGGGGAGGGTATGTGCTATGATGAGCGCTGTGAATTGTGTAAGACTGATGAATCACAGACCTAAAACAAATAATACATTATATTTTAATTTAAAAAGATATACCATGTTCATGGATTGAAATACTCCAATATTACAAAGACATTAGCAATCTAGTTGAAATTGTAAGATATATCTTTTAAACTGACAAGGTGATTATAAATTATATGGAAATGTAAAGGGTGAAAAATAGCAAAAAAAATTTAGAACAACAAAGTTTGAGTACTTAGTCTCCTGTATATCAATATTTACTATAAAGCTGTAATACTTAGTTAGATATTTTGTATTGGTAAAAGATTGGACAAGTAGGAAGCAAAATAGGGAATCCAGAAAATGTCCCCTGATTTATACACATAGAGCCCCTTAATTTTTGACAGAATTTGCACCAAAAATCATTGGGGGAAATTACAATCTTTTATATACATTGGAATACTTGTATATTATATCTATATCTATAGCCATCTATCTATCTATCTATCTATCTATATATATACACACACACACACACACACACACATATATATATATATATATATATATATATATATATATATATATATATATACTATATATGGAAAAAAAATTAAAACTTGGTTCCTATTTCACATCACCACAGAAATTTCCAGGTGGAGGACAAATATAATGTAAAAGTTAAAATAAAAAGGTTACTAGAAAAGTTACTTCATTGAATATTGTCATCGTCTCTGAATAGGGAAAGTTCTTGAATAAGATATAAAAAGCTAATTATAAAGAAAAATATTAAAAATTGGACATTATGTTTGCCAGCTTCTCTTCCTCAATAGACATCATTATCAGAGTAAGTGTAAGATCATTTGCAGCATGTAAAACATACAAAACATACAAAAACTCCAAAATATAAATCAAGAAAAGGCACATGACCAGTAGAAAAATAGATGAGAGAGCTAAACAGGCCATTTTCAAAAGAGAATATCCAAGATGGTCAATGAGCAAACAAAAGGTACTCAACCTCTACAGTCACCAAGGAAATACAAATGAAAGCCCATATCATCATTACAGAATGGCTATAATTAAAATGACTGGCAACATCAAGCATAGTGAAGATGTGGAGTAAATGGAGCTCTCACTGCTGCTGGTGGAGTCGAACTTGATACCACCACCCGAGAACATGGCCAGGTCAAAAATGTCCAGGCCCTACTACAAGTGAGACATGTACCTACTCTAGGACAGCCATCACACACCCAGGCATATACCAACCATAAATAAGGACATATGCTAACACTAGCACAGTTTGTCATTACCAAAACTGTAAACAACCCAAATATCCATTAACATTAGGAGGCATAATTCATAGTGTATTCAAGTAATAGGTTACCACACAGCAACGAGAATAAGCAAACTACTGCTACACACAACTCACAATTATAATGTTGAGCAAAAGAGGCTAGATGCCAAAGAACACATACTGAATAGTTCCATTTCAGTAAAGTTTTTAAAAAACCCACTAACATACGAAGCTAGAACTCTTCCCTTTCAGGAGGAAGGCTTGGGAGGGCAAGGACAAGAGCACACTTCTAAGGACCTGGTAATGTTCTATTCCTTTGTTTGGTTATAAGGTGTGTTCATGTCATGATATGCATTGAGCTATACACTTAGGATTTGTTTATTTTCCTGTATTTTTAATATAGAAATATTCTACTAATATTATATTAAATACCTGAATGAGCTCCTCAAAATGCTTTCCTCCCCAGCATTTTAGTATTATATTGAAATTTATATAATTAATATTATATAAAATTAAAATAGAAAAATAGAAAAAATATATATATATTTTATTATTATTATTTTTTAAAGTTAAAAAACACCATGAGTCAGATGATACCACTTCCTGTCTTAAAGTTATGGGATGGTTTTCTACAATACTAACAAGGCCACCTGATCTGGCTCCTGCCTACTTCTCTATCTTCAATTCACAGCCCTGGCCCCTCTTCATCACCATGTTCTGCACTGGTCTTTCTTCTCCCTCACACATACCAGCATGGTGGTATGTTCTTGTCGCAGGTCTCTGCTTGCTCTACCCTTTTTGCCTGCTGTTCCTTCTCCATCCTCCTCTGTGGCTGCCTATTTCTCATCTCTCACCCTGGGTCCCCATTTAAATACTAACTCTTCAGAAATGCCTTCCTGGCCTGGCTATGTCCTTTAGCACATCCCACCCCATTTCCCATTCACTTCCCACCCCTGACATTAGTCAACATTTTCTATACAGGCCCAGATAGCAAATATTCTAGTTTTTGCAGGCCAGATGGTCTCAGTCATAATTATTCAACATTACTGCCTTAGCAGGAAAGCAGTTATGGACAATATGTAAATGAGTGGACATGGCTATTCCAATAACACCTTACTTATGGATCTTAACATTTAAATTTTTTATCATTGTGCATGTCATTAATTTTATTTTGATCTCCCCCCCTACCCCGCAAGCATTTCAAAAGGTAAAAACTCATAAAAAGGCAGGCAGTGGGGCCAGATTTGGTGAATGGCCCTAGTTTGCCAACTTCTGCTTTAACCCATGACCCTGATTTACTTAATTCCTAGACCTTATCACTATCTAAAATGACTTCATTCATTCATGTGTTTATTGTCTATCTTCTCCTGCCCCTAACATTTCAGCTCCCAGAGGGAGGGGTCTCATCTCTTTTGTTCGCCATTGTGAGACTACTGCCCATCACCATGCCTGACACAGGGAGGCCAAAAGAAATGTTGGCGCAAGCCCACCTGGGTGTGACCACGGCTTTGGCGTGGATCCTGATGCTCTTCCTCCGAGTGGGGCTTATAGAAGCAGACCCATGCTCTTCCCTCAAAGACTCTCCAGTTGAGGATTCAGGTCGGGCTGACTGAGATCGTAATAAAACAGCTTCTCCTGGGTATGAAATTGGCTTGATGCTCCGCTCAAGATAGGGACTCGATTTTACCTTGGCTCGACTGATTTCTGTCTCTTCCTTAACCGGGTATTCTATGGTGAACAGCCCTGTTAACAGAAGACACGACGTCACTCTCCCTCATGGCCCAACCTTTCCTGCCCTGCCGTGGAGCTCTATATATCAGTAGCCCTTCCTTCAGCTCATCTTCCACGCCACTCCTCCACCCTTGCATGTTCTCTGGCTGGACTGCCTCCCCTCTACTCTCTGGCACAGAGCTTCAACCCTAGTACAGTTAGTGCCTCGGTAAATGCTGGCTGAATGTAGGAACAAATCAATCTTGTTTCTATTCATTCGTCAAGACCCAACTGAGATCCCTCTTCCACCAAGAAGTCTGTGTTTCATTCAGCTCTGCATCCTCCATTGAACTCATACAGGCTGGGTACACAATGCATCCATACTGTTCTCTTCCCTGAGAATGCTGTTCCCTATATCTCTGGATTTAAGTCATTTCCATCTATTTTCTTTGTTGTATTTATTTGTATTCTTGTTTTAGTTCCCTACTAGACTTGAAAACTTCTGAGGCCTGGGAACTTCATTCCTTCATTCACCTACAAAACATTCCTTGGATGCTGGGAATATATAGATGACCCAAACAGGGTTCCCTGCCTCTGAGAACTCCAAGTTGGGGTACAGGGGGGTTGGGCAAACAAAGAAATATTCACAATGCTAGGTAGTAAGATTTATAATTAGAGTACATTTTGTATGTGCTGTGGGAACCCAGAGGAATATAAGACTCATTCTGCTGGGGAAATCAGAGAAGGCTTTCTGGAGGAGGGATACAGCTGAACTGAGTCTTTTTTTTTTTTTTTAAGATTTTATTTATTTATTTGACAGACAGAGACCACAAGTAGGCAGAGAGGCAGGCAGAAAGAGAGGAAAGGAAGCAGGCTCCCTGCTGGGCAGAGAGCCCGATGCGGGGCTCGATCCCAGGACGCTGGGATCATGACCTGAGCCAAAGGCAGAGGCTTTAACCCACTGAGCCACCCAGGCACCCCTGAACTGAGTCTTTAGGGATGAGAGAAACTCCTTCGAGCTCAGCTTCCTGGTAACCCACCAGGGGGTGGCATAGAATGGAAGTCACTCTTCCTTTGTTCCCAGGCCCATCAGCAGGAGAGCCTAGATGTGGGAGGGGTCCTGGGGTCACCATGCTGGCCCTGGGGGTGCCCTGTAGCCTAACAGGGACAGCCTGCTGAGCTGGCTGCTTTTTTCTTTTCTGCTGAGATTGTCTTCAAGGAGAGGAACAGGGTCTGTAAACGGCTGATTGACAATACGGGAGAGAGTGCCAAAAGGTGAACCAGTGCCTCTGGAAGTGGGTCAGAGAGAGTTACAGAACAATGACAGGAGGCCCAGGAAAATAAAACAACCAGGGAAACATTGAGGACACACAGGGTGGTGCTCGGAAACTGAAGGTGGCTAAGGCCACCTTTACTTGCAACATGGCCCTGAGCAAGTATCTGCTTCAGCGGCCCAAGCCTTGTCACCCCCTCTATCAATGAGGAGTCACCCTGCCCCCCCACCTCCCTGAGTGGTAAAAAGTTGTCCTCAGTGGTGGAGGTGACTCAAGATTTAGGAAGTTATCGGATAGGCATCCCCCACCTTTCTGCCCCTTACCTGCTGCTAGCAAGACAGAATTCATGAACTGTGACATTGTCTTTTGAAACCGCTTCTTGATCTCTGCCAGAGCTCGGTTCATCTTAAATATTTTGTCATCCATGCGGGTCAGCAGCTGGGGAAAGGCCAAGGAGGAGAAAGCATTGTTGCCTCCCCACCAGGAGCTATTAGCCCAGCCCACCAACAACTAGGCTTTGCTCTTGTTTGAAGGAGGTGCTGTCCCCTCTGCTGGGACACACCTCTCTCCCCCTCTGCTCAGTGAATTCCTGCATATCGGTCCAATTTCTGTGGAATTGAAGCCTCAGGTAGAGAGAATGGGGTGGACAGTGGACAGATTTTCTGAAGACTGATGGTCACTCTACATGTCCTTCTTTACCCTACAGGCAGGACTTCTATAAAGGATGCCCTCAATTAATAGCAAAGCCTCAACCATCCTTCTGGTCTCTGGCCCCAGCTGCTGCTTCTAGGCTAATTTTATTTATTTATTTGTAATTTATACCTAGCCTGCTTCCAAAAAGGATTTGAGGTGATGCTCTGGGCTAAAAAAAACAAAAAAACAAAAACATTTAAATTGAGGTGTTGCCTCACTCTCAAAATGCTGCTTGATAGAAATATTTAGTGAGGAGCCTGGCTGCAGGGCCATAAAAGCTGGGGCTGCCGTTCCGCCTGTCGCTCTGATAGGTGGCTCCTTTCAAGGTTATGCGTGTCTGGGGAAGCCATTTAACAAGCGTCTCAGCGACAGAAACTTAGTGGGAGGAGGTCACCCTACCTCCCACCCTCAGCTTTTCTAGACTGCCATGGATTTTGCTGATGAACAATACCCAACCCCAACACACAGACCTAGGGAGAAGTTGACCAGACTATAAAAGTCCCAGGCAGGAGAGTGTGGAAGCCATGTCCTCACATGTACAGATGGGGACACTGAGACCTAGAAATGGAAGGGACCAGCCTAAGGCTCTATGGGCTCTTCCTAGTCTGGGCCAGCCTGCACAGTCAGCAAATTTTCTCTGGGGCCCCTTGCAGCTCAGGAAGTCCCAAGAACCGAACATGAGCCAATTTTCTGGGCCTCCAGATTTCGTGTAAAAGTGTTCCAAGATGCTTAACCTGGCAGGTAAAGTCAATATTTGGAAATTGTGTTCCCTATAATAAATCTGATAGTTCCTCATTTGCTGTTGTTTATCTAGTCTGAAATCTGTTCTCAAACAGAAGGGGTTATGACCTTGACACTTCTATGGCAAGTCAGTCTTCTGGGTCAGCATCAGCGACGATTGACTAGAACCCAGCACTGTTTCCAGAAGCTGCTTTAATGTACTGGTCTGCTTAGCCCTATGCTTAATGTCCCTGAGACAGTTACACTTTTTGAGTTATGATGTCCCTTTAAATAACTTTCCAGGGGCGCCTGGGTGGCTCAGTGGGTTAAAGCCTCTGCCTTTGGCTCAGGTCATGATCCCAGGGTTCTGGGATCGAGCCCCACATCAGGCTCTCTGCTCAGAAGGGAGCCTGCTTCCTCCTCTCTCTCTGCCTGCCTCTCTGCCTACTTGCGATCTCTATCTGTCAAATAAATAAATAAAATCTTTTAAATAAATAAATAAATAACTTTCCAGCTTTCTCTCACACTGTCAAAATGCCTCTATGAGTTTCCCTAATGAAGATGTCCCCTTCTAGACCCGCATAGTCCACTAGAAATAAAATGCAAGCTACACGTGTGGTTGTAAACGTTCCTGTAGCCACATAAAAAAGTTCTTAAAGGTGAAGTTAATTCTAGAAACATATTTATCTAAACTAATATATCAAAAAAGTGGCTGTTTTAACACATACTCAAGCTCAAAAAATTTCCCAAGAGAGAAATTTTACATTTTCTTTTCATGTTAAGTTTTTGAAATGCTATGCATATTTTCTCTTATGGCTGATCTCCATTTGGACTTGTTACACTGCATGTCTCCAGTAGCCACTTGTGACTTGTGGCTACCACATTAGACAACACAGCCCTGGACTTCTAGTTCTTGCTTCTAAGATTGGATTCAGGTAAGATAAAATAAAACTTGAATTATAAAGGGGCTTTCCTAGGCCCGGAGGTAATGTTTGGTACATGGGCAGAGAGTGATCTCTCTTGGCTGTTCATGGGTGTCTTTAATTGCTTCCATCCTGGCTCTTAGCTGTGACCCAGGCTCCAGTGATTACCAGATAAGAGGTTGTTAGGAAAACGAAGCATTACTACCATTTTATGGGAAAGAACAATTCTCTAATAACTACTGCCTTTGGTAAGAAAATTAAGCTCACATTTCTTTTTAACACATTCTAAAAGGTTTTTAAGAAATATAGACACAGGACCTCATACATCATGCATGCTTAGTCATATAACAATGATTTTTAGAGTAATGGCATGGAACCAAATGGGCAGGGTAGACTCACCAATAAGCATGATCATCATCTTAGCCCTTCCTTTTGCTCTTTGAAGTAACCAGTGCAGTCTGAAGTCACAGGCATCTGAGTTTCCTGGGTTCTCCTATGGGGCCCCTTTAACGAACACCCTCTCCTGGTACCCCAGTGGCTCCCATGGTGCCCCTCTCCCTGGCGCATTGTACCAATCCAGTTGGATTACAACTGGTGTTGATGATTTACCCCCTTCCATTAGGCAGAAAATATTTTAGACTAGAGGGAGTGAGATTTCTTCCATTTCTACATCTCAACAGCTAACTTGGCACACTGGAAGTGCTAATCAACGTTTATTGAATTATTTAATGAATTAATAAAGTTGAAATGCTGCTCAAATGAAAAGGCAGTGGGAAAACAGGTGCAATCCTCTCCTCTGAGAGAAACACAGGTGTTCTCTGTATCTTGTTCATATAGCATGGGTCCCTAACAAATGACTGCTTCCATGTCCCCACGTAAAGTGAGAACACTGGGCTAGCTGTTCCTAATGGGCTCTGTCAGCTCTGTGAGTCTATGAGCCTGTGGCATGCTGCTGGCAAATGTCCCTGCAGCACACTGAAAAAAAAAAAAAAAAAAAAAAAAAGCCTTGCTCAGCCCTAGATAGGAAAATGGGGAGGGTGAACTGCCCTGTGGATGATCATATAAATGAGCATCCAAACCAAGACACTTTTGAGAGTGAAAGAGGGCGTTATTAATAATTACTCCAGGCTGGCAGGTATAAAATGGGACTGGGCCCACGGAAACTAGGAGGTGTGGTCCTTCTGCCCCTGTTCCAAGAACCTTCCGCAGTGAACTAATCCCAGCAAAGCGCTCTGTTTGCAATGAAAATGGCCCGCTCCTTCAATGAACCCTTGTTTACACCAGTCTCACGGTGTATGTCAAGTGGGTTCTCAGCTAGACCAGAAACCCCTCAGGAACTGGGGACCGTGTGCCCTCCATCCTCTCCATCTCTCTCCATGATGTGGACTCAGGATCAGACACACAGTAATAAGACCCAATGACTAGAAGACCTGAGAAGACCTGGGCTTCCAGACTCCACCGTTTTCTTACCCACCCAACAAACATTTAGTAAGTACTTAATCTGAAGCAGTCCTGTGCTGAAGCCCTGGGGAAACAGACATTAGTAGGAATCATAGGGAATTCTCAATCTGGTAGAAAAAATGGGTTTATAAATAAAGGAGTGCTAGAATAGAGATGAGTCATGGTTGGGAGGGCTGAGCAGAGGGCTGAGCAGAGGCAGACTCTCCTAGGAATGGGAAAGGGAGTGGTGGAGAGGGTCATCAACACACATTGGTAGTTACTCTTTCCAGTATCATCTCTCCCTCTTCTGGTAACAGCACCATGATGTTCCTGCCAGGTGGTATAGCTGGGGCTGATCACACCCTTTGGCTTTCAGGATGGACATACTACTCGAGCCTGGCCTGTGAGAGCAACATGTGCTCCTGGTCATGCGGGCTGCTTCAGGCAGAGGCAGCAATGTTGGTGTTGCCACTTCTACTTGAGCACTTAGGAAAGAGAAGCCCTTTTTCTCCTAGGAAGAACAAAGCTGGTAGAATCATGAGCCCAGAAATGCTCACGACCATCTTGTCACCATAAGGAGAGAAACTCCCTGAGAGTGAAGCCAACAAAGAGGAAAGCAGGAGCCAAGTGATGGGAAGAGCTGATGGAGTCATTTGAGAGTCTGGATCCAGCCATGCCTAAAGCTGCCTACTGACAGACTTTTCAGTTTGCTGAGCCAATATTGTTTCTCTCCATGTTAGCTAATCTGCTTTGGATGCTATTACAACTGAAAGACTCCTAACTGATAGAAGTTTCACAGAGAAGGCGGTGCTAACATCAGACAGTGAATGATGAATAGCAGTTCACTCATTAGTCAGAGAAAGAGGTAGGGCCCTGCCCCATGCAGAGGGATAAGGGATAGAGGGATAGGAGGAGCACAGGCATTGAGATATGGACTGGCAGCCCACAGTGAGACAGCCTGGGGTCAGGCCTGCAGACCTGGTCTGCTTTGACTTACCCGTTTTTCATGTGCTACCCCATGGGGACAGTTGTTGGCTGATACGGAGAGTGTTATTCTTTCATTTAGGGAGGTGAAGGTGACCGTGATGGAGTCCTGGCTTAGCACCGTCAGCTTCATTTGCTCATTCACCTGCAGAAGAAGAAACGGTACTTAGAGAATCTCTGTTTCTATTATCCACCCTTCCACCACAAAGCACAAAACTCCTCTTGGGTTGGGGCCAAGAAAGCTGTAAGATCTTTTCAGTTGGAATTTAGCTTTCATGGAGAAGAAAGAATTCCAGTCTTTCTTTGGGGACTGACAGAAAAAGTAACTGATGCCTTCCCATCCCTGCTCCTTCCTTTTCCAGCCCAAGCTTAGAACCAACTGTGAAAGAGACATAGGTGTCTGGAGGTAAATCAGCTTTGGTTCTAGCAGAACTAGATGGCGATGCAGCTTGGGTCGTAAGCCTATACTCTCTATGAGTCAGACATGTGCACCCAGGTACCAGGTCTGACTATGAGCCTTGCTCTAGAGTATGCAGAGCTGCCTTGGGAAGCTGACAACATGGCAGGAGGCACCAGAGTGCACTCTGTGGGTGCATGGGCAGTTGACAAAGGCGAACCCAGCAGGGGCTGAGCCACACATGCTCAGTCCCCTCCCCTCAATCCCCAAATATGTCACTACTCTTCCCCTGAGGAGCCAAAGGAGCTTTTTTAAAAAATCACTTCCAAAAAGGTAGACTTTCCTATGTATCAGTCCTAGACAGAAAGAGGGAGGATGAGCTGCCTTTCCAGCAAATCACTCCTTACTGAAAATTTTGTGTTCTAGAAGTAAGTTCAAGTTCAGACTCTGTTAGCAAGCCAGCTTCTCTGAAGCTCAAATTCCTCAACAGGAAGAGTTGAAAGGCTAGTATTAGGTTCAAACAAGATAAAGATTATGGAAGTGGCTTCACAAGCCACATAGGTCCATAACACACATGAACAGATATTGTCAGGATGCAGCAGGGCAATCCCATGAGGTCCCTGGATGGTTCACATGTGCAGAGAGTTATGTGTGCACAGTGACCCTACCCAAGGGGCTAGGAGTCTATAGCCCCACCTGCTGCTGTTCCGTCTTCAATGTCCCTGACCTGTGTGCCCCAGACTCCTCTGTAGTAAGGAAATACTCTTTATTTTGCTCCTTCCATTTCCTTCTGCTATTCCACTTATTGGCCCCAAGGTCTACTTTCAGTTTCCGCACCACTGAGTCCCTTCCTCATCCTCTGCAGTCTGTGTGCTAGCACTCTCCAGCATCTGGAAAACATTTGATCCATGGCTGTCTTCTTGCCAAGTGTCTTGACATCCTCAAACTTGTTGATCACTCCCACTTAAGAAAAAACCCTACCTTCTCCTGTTCTTCTTCTATGGAGTGTAGAATAGAGCTGTGGTTGAGAGCTCAAGTGCTACAGTTTGACAAGTTTCAAATACCAGTGTTGCTACTTACCAGTGGAGCAATTTAAGGCAAGTTGGTTAGCTTTTCTGAACCTGGGGGCTGTAACACAAGTTTTTTCCCAAGGCACTGAGCAGATTTCATGGGATAAAACATGCAGAGGGCTTAACAGAGTACAACTGTTTTTTATTATGCCAACTCCCTGGGTGGTTTCTCTTCCTCTCCCCCATGCCCCAAATATGGGTGCTCTACAAGCTCATTCACTACTCATCTTCTTGGGAATTCATGAGCCAATCCATCACATATATCCGTCATCCCTAATCTCTCACCCTAAGAGAGGATTATATCACAGAAGCCACTGAGCCCAATCAGCACATCTAAAACCACATTGATTTCTGACTCTCTCAGAAACTTCTTTTTCCACACAGACACATACTCCATTGTGGTCATCTATACTCCTCTCTCCTCTTATTTAGCCCCTACAGTTGATGTTTGAATGCTACTGAATCCTTCTACTGAAATGTTCCTTTAAGAAATGTTGCTGCTACCCTTCATCATGTCAGGTCTGGCTAGTAACTCCATAACTAGTCTTTGTACTAGCCCATCCACTGATTTTTCCCTTTCTAGTCAACTTTCTACACACAGCTGACCCAAGCATGGCGGCCTTCAACTTAGAAACTAACCAGCTGGTTGTACTTCCAATATAGCTGAGTCAGTTCCTACCAGGCTGACCCAACCACAGAACTTGACAAAAATACAATAAAACAACATCCCAAAGACTCTGAAGAATAAACAAAAGTGGGCAAATTTTGAAGAATCAAAACTCAAAAGAAAGGGCCAGCATAGGATGAATTTCTACTTTATAGATTTAGACTGAAGGCAAGCCACAGTCATGGCTAAAACACCACTATCTTCCTGGCCCAGGGAAAGAGTGAACCTGTGGAAACTACAATCACAGAAAAGTAAGGATAAAATTCCAGAAGGGATGGTGCCAAAGAAATGGAGGCCCAAATTCTTTTTTTTTTAAGATTTTATTTATTTATTTGACACAGAGAGAGATCACAAGTAGGCAGAGAGGCAGAGAGAGGGGGGAAGCAGGCTCCCCACTGAGCAGGGAGCCCAATGTGGGGCTCAATCCCAGGACCCTGAGATCATGATCTGAGCCGAAGGCAGAGGCTTAACCCACTGAGGCACCCAGGCGCCCCAAGGCCCAAATTCTATGAATAAACCATCCATACCCCTGGCTAATCCCTGAACCATGCATAAGCAGGGAAGACTCAAGATAGCTTACTGATAGGGAAACAGAAAAACTGAACTGAGATGTGAACTCTTGCCTCCTGCAGGTAAAACAGAGTTTGTGGTGTGAGTCTGACCAAGATCACTGCCTGCTAAAACAAAAATGTTAACACCTTTCAGAGAAATATACCAAATTTTAGACTCCACAATCCACAGATCCTCAGACAACATACACAATGTCAATGATCTAAAATTACTCAACATGTAAAGAACCAGTGAAGTGTGAGCTATTCTCAAGGTAACAGATAAATGTGTGGTATGTCCTGGATGTTGAAATTGAAAAGAACTTTAAAGTAGCTAATTTAACTGTATTCAATGAAGCCAAGGAAAATATATTTGTAATAAATGAAAAATAGACAATCTCAGCAGAGAAAATAGAAAATATAAAGAAAAAACTAAATGGAAATCCTAGACTTGAAAATACATATATGAAATTTTAAAGATCCACAGGATTAGCATAACAGCAGAATGAAGATATCAGAATAAAGTCAGTGCACTTGAGACTTAGATCCATAGAAATTATCCAATCTGAGAACAAAAGAACAGAGTTGGAGTGCCTGGGTGGCTTAGTTGGTTACGCATCCAACTCTTGATTTTGGCCCAGGTCATGATCTTGGGTTGTGAGATCAAGCCCCATATGGGGTTCCACAATGAGCATGGAGGCTGCTTAAGATTCTCTCTGGGGGTGCCTGGGTGGCTTGGTAGGTTAAGGAGTGACTCCTGATTTCCACTCAGATCATGATCTCAAGACTGTCAGATCAAGCCCTGTGATGGGCTCCATGTTCAGCAAGGAGTCTGCTTGAGATCCCCCTACTGCTCCTACTCTCTCTCTCTCTCTCAAATAAATAAATCTTTTTTTTTTTTTAAAGAGGCAATGTCAACTTGAATGTCCACACAAGGTAGCCTTAAAAAAAAAAAAAAAAGATTTTCTTTCTCTCTCTCTCTACTCCCCCCCTTTCTGTCCCTCCCCCTGGTTGTACTCTCTCTCTCAAAATTAAAAAAAAAAAAGAAATAATGAATTAACAGAGTCTCAGAGACCTTTGGGACAATATTAAAATCTCTAAAATACATGTAATTGGAGTCTCAGGGGAAAAGGAGAGAGATTGAGCACATTTTCCCCTAAAACAATGACACAAGACTTTCCAAATTCAGTGAAGGACAAAAATGTACAAATTCAAGAAGGTCAAGAAATCCCAACAGAACAAAGACAACCATACCCAGACACATCATAGTCAAACTTAGAAAATCAGATTAAAGAGGAAATCTTGAAAGCAGCTAGAAAAATGAACAATGATTTGAATAACTACAGACTTCTCATTGTTAACTTTGGAGGACATACACAGTAGAAAAGCATCTTTAAATTGCTGGAAGGAAGGGGAAAAAACCCCAGTCAACCCAGAATTCCATGCCCAGCAAAGATATCCTTTCATAAAGACATTTTTTAAATGAAAGTAAAGATAATTTGTTGTCAGCAGATCTGTACTTCAAGAAATGCTTAAAGGAACTTCTTCAGACTGAAGAGAAAGAGTACTGGAGGGAAACTTGGGATTTTCAGAGAAGAATGAAAAACATTGGAAATGTTAATATCTGGGTGAAAACAAACTGGCCAATGCAGCCTACAAAACAACAAGCACTTTCCTCAGCCTGACATCCAACACCTCTCACCTCTACTCCACAGCATATACACCTTCTGCCCCCTTTCTTTCACAAGAAGCACCTGTGGACTTTTAAAACTGCCACACTAAGTCCTAACTCTAAGCCTTTAAAGACGCTATTCCTTCTACCCAGAATGCTTTCCCTTCCCTCTTCTATCTACATGAATCACATGCACACATGCTGCTGTTGCAACTCAAGGGTCACTTTGTCTTCCTGGCCTCTCCTGACTGCACCAGCCCTATTGTGCATTTCTCTGTATGCAGCTCCAGGGGATAAAACAATGAACTGAACTATATTGCCGAAACACTTTAGTGATGTCAAAGCAACTTCCCTGCCATTATTTTATTTAGTTCCCACAAAAGCGGTGTGAGGCAGGGCTGGTGTGGTGACCTACTCTGCATTGATTAGACCACCCAGACTCAGAGGAGCTTAGTGATTTTCACAAAGCTTCATAGTCAGAGTCTGGCTAGCTGGCACAAGGCTTCTCAGGCTCTCATTCCATTCTGTCCACTAAGTCACACTGATACACAATATGTGGTGCCTGTCTGCAACCAATTTATAATTGTCATGGACTGTAAACTTTTCATAGAGCTACAAAAAGCTTAATATTAAGACAGTAACTCAATACACTCCTAGACTGACAATCTCTGACGTGGCCAAGCATCAGAAAAACTTGTGAAAACTACAGAAATCTAGCACTTATAACAGACCACCTGAATCAGAATCTCTCTGAGGCTGTGCCTGGGGATCTTCATTTTTTAAGGTTCCATAGGTTTCTGATATGCAACCAGAGCATGATTAATAATCATATGACTAACCCAGAATGTGGTTACTGTGAGAAAAGAGAAATGGATGTGGACTGCAGTGCCATTATGGAGAAGAAGCATGAGCTGGGCTGTGAAGGAGGGGAAATTTGGTTTGACAGAGAGAGGAGGGGGCACATTTCAGGTCAAGGGATAGGAAGGGTGAGATATGTTCAAGATATTGAATGTTTCTGAGTAGAGGTCTGATCTATAGGAATTGGGATATAAGGATGAAAATCCAGTGGCCAATGCAGAGGATGAACAAGATGGGTCTGAGACAGACAATTAGGGGTAGGGTACCTGAGCCCTGCCACACACTTCAAGAGTAGTTCCATCCATAACACTTACACTGGGGCTCTTAATATCACGCCACCTTGAGTAGATTCTGTGTTCTGTGATCTTTCTTTGAATCCCAACCCTGTGAATTTGTCTCTCTCTCATTGCTCTTATTCTTCTCTATCTTGTATTCTTATTAATCTCCTGGACTTTTGGGGTTCCTTGAAGTGTTGACTTATCTTTCTACCCTCTAGATCAGTGATTCTCAATCAAGGGCAACTACTCCCTCCAGAGACATCTGACAATGACTGAGGATATTTTTAGCTGTCACAACTTGGGGAGGTGATACTACTGGTATCTGGTGGGCTGCTGCTAAATATCCTACAATGCATAGTTATAGCAAAGAATTATCCATCCTAAAATGTCATTTCTGCCAAGGATGAGAAATTCTGCCTTAAATAAGTTACAAGCACATTTAGTTACTTTATTAATAAATTTATCATTATTATTTAATAATAGTAATTCCACTCTAATTTATTTTACTTGAGAAAATAAATTTCATTAATTTATTATTTAATCTTTGATGAATGGCTGTCTGAACAATCAAATGAATAATAAAAAAAAGATTTGTCCTTCAGCCACCTTTGACTTGCAGGTTTCTTATTTCACGACATAGTAAAGATATAAAAGAAACTGGGCAGACCAACATAGAATTACTAACTCTTCTTATTGCCATGTATAGGCATTAAAAACAAAGCTATCAACTACTATAATGATTCCTTCATAAAGTGAGGGGTATTTAAACCATCAAAATGTAGTAATATTAACAATAAGAACAAGATAGGACAGATATTACTAGGAAGATTCAGTACAGCAACCAACAGTTGCTGTGGGCTGGTGAAAAGTTTACCTCAGCCAGCTCCCAACCACTACTCACCAGCTGAGGAACCTTTGAAAGAGATTATAAAGCTCCTGAGGGCAAGACATTTGTCTTACAGGTAGCACTCTGACTGTAAATGCTGGGAAGCCCAAGAAAGGTTGCTGAAGCCACCCCACCTGTGCTGTCCATGCCCACCTTATATTCCAGGGAAAGCAAAGTCTCTGTCTTAGAAGTCCAGCTCCATTTGTGAACTACGTAGCCTTTGTAGTCATTGGCAGTCCCACCTTCCTCATCCAAGACCAAGACGTATGGGCAACTAGAAGAAATATAGCAGTGAGAAGTTGACGTCAAGCCCCTGAAGGAAGCCTCATCACTACAGACTATAGGCAGGCAGGGCTCCGAGACTCTGCGCTAGACTAGAAGAACCCTGAAGGCCAGTGGGCAGCCTCACTTCCTCTGCCTAATACGGTTTGATACCTCTTCATCTGTTGATGCTACAGGAATGTCAGTCAGAAAGGGCAGGTTTGAGAGAGATAATAGAGGCTCAGGCCAAACCCAAAAGGGAAGAAATGAGATATGTGCCCAAAAGCCTGGGTGTATAAGATCTCAGGCACCAAAATGGGAATGGGAACATCTATAGCAGAAGAATAAGTCATTCCTTCTGAAAACATTTCCTTATGACATTGACTTTTGACTGACAAGAATATGTGCCTCTCTTTAAAACCCCCATGGAAGTTGTACCTGTGGCTTCTCCTTCACTCACTTCTGGTATAAAACACTCTTCTCCACTAACTCTTCCATGAATCCAGCCAACAATCCAGACCTTAGTGCTCTGGGGGTACAAGTGGAGCAGGACTTGGGGAGGTGCCCTTCTCTTTTGCTATGACATGGATCTAGCAAGCAAAGATCAGCCCTCAACATACCTATGTCCCTGCAGGTCCCAATTTAGCCCTGCCTCACAGCCTTCCCAGGCCTCTGGACACTGATGGCCCCTCCTTTTCTTGTGGACCACCACCTCAGTGCCTTCCTCTGTAACCTCCAGAAACACTTCCATGGGGCCAGGATTCCCCCAAACCACTCACCGGGCCTTCATGTTGTACTGAACACAGCCCTGTCCTTCAGCATTGAGCAGAGCCAAAAAGAAGCTAGGTGTATCATTAAAGAGGCAGGTGATGGTTCTTCCTTTGCAGCATGTGGGGATCTGACACATGGCGATGTTTCCAGAGGGATAGCTGGCAGATAGTCAAGGAAAACAGAAAACTCTCCAGGTTCTGCTTTCAGGTGCTCCAGATCTCATGTCAAAATGATAGTTATTTGGTGCATCATTCTCAGTCTTCAAAGACCCTCCCTGCACTTTGCATAAGTAACAACTAAATAATTATGGAGCACAACCATGCCCTACGTGCTTTCCTATATCTTCTTTCCATTTATCAAAACCACCCTATGGTAGGTAGTATTATCTCCATTTCACAGATGAGTAGGGCCTCCTGGGATGTGGGACTTTCAGTGCTAAAGCCAGGAAAGTCTCAGGCAAATCAGGGCAAGTTGGATCTGTAGGATGAGGAATCCAAGGTGCAAAGAAATGATCATCCCACACGACAGAACAGGGAAGTGGCAGAACTTGTACCTGAAATATGAAGTATATTTCTAATGTTGTCAGACTGCCTCCCCTTATGATCGGTCTAGGAGAGGAGGCAACATCTCCTTGCTCATTTCCTACTAAGGCAACCCCAAGAAGCACTGGTCTCAGCTTAAAGGAATATGGTGTGGACAGCTATGGCAGGAATTTCAATAGTACCCCAGAAGAATTTCAGTGGTTGGCACCGGGGCTCAACTGCTTTCAAATGCTTCTCCACCAATGGGGGGAAAGATAAACAGATAGGAATCATAAACAGTAACAAATGGAAATTCTAGAGCTGAATAGTACAATAACTGGAATGAAAAAAATCACTAGATGGGTTTAGCAGCATATTGGAGCAGAAGTGTCAGTGAACTTGAAGATGGATCAATAGAGTTAACCAGCCTGAGGAGCACAAAGAAAAAAGAATGAAGAAGAGTTAATGGAGCCTAAGAGATCCATGGCAGACCATCAAGCATACAAACATATCTGTAACAGGAATCTCAGAAGGACAGAAGAGAGAGAGAAGAGGGGAAGAAAGAATATTTGAAGAAATAATGATTAAAAGTGCCACAAATTTGATGAAAGACATGGCTGTACACACTCAAGAAGCTTAACAAACTGGAAGGAGAATAAACACAAAGAGAGCCATGCTGAGACACATTATTATCAAACTGCCAAAAGACAAAGACAAAGACTCTTGAAAGCAGCAAGAGAAAAGAGACTCATTGTGTACATGGGATACTTAATGAAGATAAGGACAATTTCCTATCAGAAACCATGGAGGCCAGAAGGCACTGGGATGAAATATTTAAACAGCCAAAAAAAAAAAAAAAAAAAAAAAAAAAGCTATCAACCAAGAATTCTATATTGAGCAAAACTATCTTACAAAATGAAGAAATTAAGACTTTCTAGATAAACATAAGTCTAGATAAACATAAGTTCACCATAGGTAGACCTGCCCTATAGGAAATGCTAGGCTGACATGAAAGGATATTAGATAATAATTAAAAGCAATACAAGTAAAAAGAATACCAATAAAGGTAACTATACAAGTAAATATAAAACCAGTATTATTGTATTTTTGGTTTATAATTTCTCTTTTTACCCCAGCTAAGTTGAAAGACAAAGATACAAAACACTAATTGTAAATCTATGTTAATGGCACACATTCATATATAAAGATGTAACTTCTGATAACGACATAAAGGAGGAAGGGTGAACTGTTTAGCAGCAGAGTTTTGTGTACTATTAAGCCTAAATTGGTATTATTTCAAACTAGTTTGTTGTCAGCTGTAATTCTCAAATGTATTAGTTTCTTGGGATTTCCATAATATCCAGGCCACAAACTTGATAACCTGAACAAGAGAAATTTATTCTCTCACAGTTCTGGATGTTTGAAGTCTGAAATCAAGGTGTTGACAGGGCCCATATCTTTCTTTCCTCTTTGTGGGTCTGTTTTCTCTTGATTGGATTGGGCTCCACCCTAAGCCAATATGACTTAATCTTAATTAATCATATCTGCAAAGACCCTGCTTCCAAATATGATCACATTCTGAAGCTCCAGATGAACATACATTTTGGAGACACTATTCAACCCATTATACCAGAGTAAACACTAAAAAACAACAACAACAACAACAACAACAAAAACCCAAAAGATATGGAGTAAAGAAAATGAGAGAATAAAAATGGCATATTACAGGGCGCCTGGGTGGCTCAGTTGTTAAGCAATTGCCTTCCGCTCAGGTCATGATCCCAGGGTTCTGGGATTGAGGCCCACATCGGGCTCCCTGCTCTGCAGGAAGCCTGCTTCTCCCTCTCCTGCTCTCCCTGCTTGTGTTCCCTCTCTGTGTGTCTCTCTCTGTCAAATAAATAAAATCTTAAAAAAAAATGGCAGGGCACCTGGGTGGCTCAGTGGGTTAAAGCCTCTGCCTTCGGCTTGGATCATGATCCCAGGGTCCTGGGATCGAGCCCCATGTCAGGCTCTCTGCTCAGCAGGGAGCCTGCTTCCCTTCCTCTCTCTCTGCCTGCCTCTCTGCCCACTTGTGATCTCTGTCTGTCAAATAAATAAATAAAATCTTTTTAAAAAAATGGCATATTACAAAAAAAAATCAGTTCAACATAGAAGGAGGTAATAGTATAGGAACTCAAGAACAATAACAACAAAAAGATATCACATATAGAAAATGAATAGTAAAATGACAGAATCAAGCCCTTCCATATCAGCAATTACATTAAATAAAAATGGATTAAATTCTCCAACAAAAAAGCAGACTGACAGAATGGATTATTTTTAAAATCCATTTAAATATATATACATATATATGTTTAAATATATATGCTGTCTATAAGAAGCTTACTTTAGATCCAAAGACACAACTAGGTTGAAAGCCAGATGATGGAAAATAGATATTCCATCCAACTAGTAACCAAAAGACAGCAGAGGTGGTTATACTTATATCATAGACAAAAGACTTTAAAAATGTTTATAAGAGACAAAGAAGAAAATTGCACATTGAGAAAAAGGTCAATACCTCAAGAAGATACAATTATAGACATATACACACCTAACAGCAGAGCCCCCAAAAATACGAAGCAAAAACTTACAGGGTTAAAAAAAGAAATAGTTCTACAATAGAAGTTGGGAGACTTCACTATCTTACTTTTATCATGGACAGAACAATTACACAGAAGATCAATAAAGAAAATAAAGAATTTGAACACTGCTATAAACCAACTAGACCTAACAGAACACTCCACCCAACAATAGAGAATATACATTCTTTTTGAGTCCACAGGACCATTCTCTGGTAGAGACAATATGTTAGGCCACAAAACAAGTCTCAATAAATTTGAAAAGATTGGAATCATAGAAAGTACCTTCCCTGACAACAGAATGAAATTAGAAATCAATGGCAGAAGGAAATTTAGAAAATTCTCAGATAGGTGCAAATTAAACAATACACCCAAAAACAAATGGATAGAGAAGCAATCACAAGGGAAATTAGAAAACAGCTGAAAGTGTGAAAACAAAAATATAATATATCAAAATTTATGGGATAAGGCGTGGGAATGAGGTCAGAGGGCAGAGTCCAAGGGAGCAGCCACAGAGGCCAGGACAGCTGTTGACATTTGGGCTGGGACACTGAGGAGCCCTGGGAATCTGGCCCAGTCTCGTGCTCCCATCCTCATCCAACGTGCTCTTCACAGGGGATGACCCCCAACCAGGTGCTCACACCTACATTCAGGGCAGACAGACCTGGCAGATTTACTATCAGGTGTTCCACTGTAATAATGTTGGAGTTAGGAAATCTCCATTTCTTTGCTCCAAACCAGAAGACTTTGTTCCCTGCATACAGAGGAGGAGTAATGTTGGTAGAAGCTGGCTGACATTTAAAGCTGAAGATTATCATGACTGTTTAACATAAGCTCTATTCTGAAGTAAAACTAATTGTCTTGGAAATACTATGTTGGTTTCATTCTGAGTGCTCAGAGAATCATCCTCACAGGAACACAATATACTGCCCAAATTTGCTTTTGGAACCATGAAAACTGCTCATTTTTTGTTTTGACAATACAATCATAGATGACAATAGTGACACCTGGATTGTACAGTGCACTCCAGAGAAAAATCTTCTACAAAATTCTTATGAAAAAGGATTCGGGGCAGAATCTTTAAGTATTTGGAAGTTGCAGGTGTAAGAGAAGATGAAGTGAAAAGAGCAGGGACATCAATATCTTTCATTCTAGGGATGGTGGAACTTTTGAACTTTATAAGGAAGGACAAGGATAAATTTTACTGCATCATTATTTCAGATTCAAAATCAGTTTCCATATATGGGGTTTTAGGAGCTACCAATTTTCATGATGTGTTTGGTGAAGTGTTTGCAAATCCAGCAGTTTTTGATAACAAAGGTCATCTCACTGAAAAATTATCAAACTCATTCTTGCAATTAGGTACCCAGAGAATCTTTGCAAAAATGTAGTTTGGGTAGAATTTGTAGATTCAGTTACAACTTATGAATTATATACGAATTATTTATATAGGTGATGGTGAAAATGATGTCTGTCCAGTAACTATTTAAAAGAAGAATGATGTTGCCATGCCATGGAAAGGATATACTTTAGAGAAAACTCTTTCCAAAATGTCTCAAAATCTTGAATCTATGGAATAATCTGTTGTAGTTTGGTCTTTGTGTATTGAAATACTTTCTCATTTACAATTTTTAGTAAAGGAGTAATATGTCAACAACATTATGGGATGATGTGAAAGCAGCGCAGGAAGAAATTAATAGCTATAAATACCCACATTGAAAGAGAAAATCTCAAATCAATAACCATAATTTCCACCTTAGGAACTAGAAAAAGAAGAGAAAACCAAAGTTAAAACTAGCCAAAGGGAGGAAATAATAAAGATTAGAAAAGAGAAAAATAGAACAGAGAAAAGAAAAACACTGGAAAGAACAAACAAAACCAAAAGTTGATTCTTTGAAAAGATCAACAAAATTGAGAAACCTTTAGCTAGTCTGAGTCAGAGAAAAAGGAAAATTCAAATTCTTAAAATCATAAAGTGGAGACTTTACTACTGACTTTACAGAAATTAAAAAAAATACATCATAAGAGATGTATATGAACAATTGTATATCTACAAGTGATATAGTCCATTTGGGAAAAAAAAATCCTAGAAACACACAAAGGAAGTTGTAGGATACAAAATCAACACACAGAAATCAGTTGTCCCTCATGAACATGGGATGTCTTTCCATTTATCTCAGTCTTCTTTAATATATCTCAACAGTATTTTGTAGTTTTTGATGTAGAAGTCTGACACCTCCTTGGTTAAATTTATTCCAAAGTATTTTATGCTTTTGGATGCTAGTGTAAATGACATTATTTCCTTTGGTTCATCACTTTTTTATTCTTGCTGCTGTTCATAGAGCATTTCACATAATTTGTTGTTAGTATTCAAGGATTGGCAGACTTAATATTGTTCATGGCAAAATGCCCCACAGTGACCTATAGATTCAGTACAATTCATATCATAATTTCATCAGTATGTTCTTACAAAAACAGGAAATTTGATTTTAAAAATCATATGGACTTTCACAGGACCCCAAATAACCAAAATAATCTTGAAAAAAGAAAAAGGTGAGTCAAACTTCCTAATTTCAACACTTCACTACAAAGCTACAATAATCAAAACACTGTAGCACTGACATACAAATCAATGGACTAGAACTGAGAGTCCAAAAGTAAACTCATGTATCAATGATTAACTGATCTTCAACAAGGGTGCCAAGACCATTCAATGGCGAAAGAATAGTCTCCTCAAAAAATAGAGGTGGGACAACTGGCTATCACTTGAGAAAGGATGGAGTTGGATCCTGATCTCACACCATATGTAAAAATCAACTGAAAATGGATCAAAGACCTAAATGTAAGATCTGTAAACCATTAAACTCTTAGAAGACAATACAGGCATAAGGATAGTTTCTTGGATATGAAACCCAAAGCAGAAGGAACAAAAAAAAAAAAAAGAAAAGAAAAGAAAAATTGGACTTCATAAAAATTAAAAACTTCCATACTTCAAAGGATACTATCAAGAGAATGAAAAAACACCCCACAAGATAGGAAAAAAGTTGCAAATCATTTATCAGATAAGGATCTAGTATCTATAATATATAAACACCTCTTGGAACTCAATAAATAATGGACAATAAAAAAATGAGTGAAGGACTTGAATACACATTTCGACAAAGAAGATATGCCAAGAAGGCACATGAAGATGCTTGAAATCATTAGTTATTAGGAAAACCATTCAAAGCCACAATGAAATATTACTTTACATCCACTAGAGTGGCTGGAATTTAAAAATTGGAAAATAACAAGTATAGTCAAGAATGTGGAGAACCTGGAACTCTTACACATTGTAGGCGGGAATATAACCCAGTGGCACAGAGCCACTGGGGAAAACATTTTGGAGGGCCTTAAATAAGTTAAACATAGAACTACTATATGACCCAGTAATTCCACTCCTATGTATAGACCCTAAAGAATTAAAAACAGGCATTCACAGTAGCCCAATGGTGGGGAAAACCTAATGTCCATAAGCAAATGAATGGATTAGAAGAAAGTGGAACACCCATATAATAGAATATTATTCAGCCACAAAAAGGAAATTGTGAGATGTGCCATAATGTGTGACCCTTGAAAACATTATGCTCAGTGAAAGAAGCCAGACACAAAAGGTCACATACGATAGGATTTATAAGATGTCCAGAAGAGGCAAATCAAAAGAGACAAAAACATATTAGTGGTTGCTAGGACTACGGTAGGGAAAAACAGAAAGTGATGGGTGAATGGGCATAGGGTTTTCTTTTGGGGTGATGAAAAGTTTGTGGAACTTGAGACAAGTGATGGAAGCATCACTGTAAATGTACTGACTGCCACTCAATTGGATATACCCCAATTTAAAAAAGGAGGCACTGTTGTATAGTATAATGTGGATGAACCTTGAAGACATAATGGTGAGGGAAAGAAGCCAGATATAAAAGGCCACATGCTGCATGATCCCATTTATACAAACTATCTGGAACAGGTAAATGCAAAGAAGCAAAAAGCGTGTTAGTGGTTGCCGGGAACTGTAGGGGAGGGGAAATGGGGAGCGTCTGCTTAACAAACATGGGGTTAGCTTTCAGGGTGATGAAAAACCCTGGAACTAGGTTGTGGAGATGGCTGCCCAGCATTATGAATATAGTTCATGCCATTCAATTACACACTTTAAGCTGGTTAAAATGAGAAATTTTATGCGATGTACATTTTTTCATATTAAAAAAAAAAATAAGTACCTCAGAGTATTTCTAAGGGAACAGTGCTGAGCACAGTGAATAAAGTTTGTTTTAAATATGATAAGTCCGGGGGCGCCCGGGTGGCTCAGTGGGTTAAAGCCTCTGCCTTCGGCTCGGGTCGTGATCCCAGGGTCCTGGGATCGAGCCCCGCGTCGCGTCGGGCTTTCTACTCCGCAGGGAGCCTGCTTCCTCCTCTCTCTCTGCCTGCCTCTCTGCCTACTTGTGATCTCTGCCTGTCAAGTAAATAAATAAATAAATCTTTAAAAAAAAATATGATAAGTCCGTGCATAGGAAAAAAGGCTTTGAGGGAAGTTTGATGGGAGAATCAGCAGTTGTGGGGAGACATCCGGGAGATGCTGACAATGGAGGGAATGACACCCAAATGAAATGAATACTGGGATGGTTCTGGAGTCTGATGTGGACAAAGAACAAACCAATTGGGGCTCGCAGCTTTCTGGCACCTCAGGGGTAAACAAACCATTTCTACTTGAGACTTTGGCCAGCAATCTCCATGAGACCAGAATTAACTGCTGAGTCCAGAAAATGTCTTCCAAACATTTTTCTCTGCTTACAAGGGATCTAACAGGTACATGCGTGCTTTGGCCACTGGAACACAGTGACACAGAATTTCTCCAAGATCACTGGGGTCCAACTTCCTCTCCTTATAGTGAAGGCAAGTGAGGCCCAGAGAGATGAAGTGACCAGCAGGGACACCAAGAAGAACTGGGCCTAGAACCCAGCCTCTTGGGACTTTCAAAGATGAAATGCACTGGAGGACAGGATGTGGTCACTGGTGGCATATGGGTCAAGCATGCCAGTAGCAGGGCCTACAGGTTTGGGGTAGTCCCATCCGAGGGGACCTCGGGATTCTGGGACAGGGAAGAGAATGAGAGCTGTGCTCTAGGTCACCCACTGTAGTCCTGCTGATAGCAACAGAATTCACATAGTTTCTCGAGCTCAGGGAGATGATCCTATTCAAGGCAATGAAGAATCAGGAAAGGGGGAAGGGAGAGCCCATGACTCCCAGTAAGCAGCAGTTACCCTGGAAGGAGTTTGCTGTGTTCAATATCACAGGCCTCCCTGGAAGCAGGGCCAAGAGGAGTGTGATGAATGGATTCATTTACGGTCAGAGAAACAATAGGATGCCTTTGACAAGGCACTTAAATTCTGAATTCCCAGTTCAGCTGGAGAAGAGGCCAAATGAAGTGAGGGCGGGGGGGGGGGGGGGCAGCAGGGGGGCTACTGGGAGGCAGGCTTGGCTTGGCAACCTATTTGACAGTTCAGAGAGCTCCCTCTCTTCCAAAGGTATGGGACACTGGGTACCCTGTGGTTTTATTATTAAACAAGGCCATCTTCCTTCCCCCCATCTCCTGCTCTCTGCTCCATGGAAGAATCCTGGGAGGCCTAACAATTGTGCCAGGAGGAGGGACCTAAATAGAGGTGAAGTGGCCCTGAATCAAGGCCTGGCTCTGCCACCAAATTCCTTTTGTGACACTGAAGTGAGTGACACCATCCACTACTACAAGGAAGGGACAGGGATGTCTGGCTTAGTGGCTCCTCTTTTTGATGTCTCATCCAACTCAGACTGTAAAACCTGGAATCGGCCTCAGAGCCTTGCTGCCAAATGGGCTGGGCATCCGGTCCAGCCCCACTGTCTGTTGGGGAGTGGGCAACAGGACCCCTGCAAGGAACACAGGGGTCCAAGGCGGCTTCTTGATGCATTGCTTCCCACCCAGACATTCTCCAAAGGGAGCCCTCTCTGACCTGAACAAAAAATGCCTAGTATCCTGAAGAACACATCACCAGGCTTCTCTGGTCAGTTGAAAAGCCAAAGTAACACTCGGGCTTATTCAAACCCAAGGCTTTTCTGGGGCTGAGTTGCTGGGGAGAAGGGGCAGCAGCAAATAAAAGGATACTACACAAAGGAGGACCCATCATAGAAGGCGTAGTGGAACTTGATGATCTTCTTGGATACCTTCCACTCCTGAGAATGCCGGACAAAGTGAGGGTGGTGGTAGGCGGGAGGCTGGTGAAGGGTGGAAGCGGAGGTCTGAGCACCTGAAGGGTGAGGGTGGTGGGAGCTCGGGGTCTGAGCATCCCCTTTCGGGGCTGACATTAGATGAGGGGGCACCTTTGCCCTGTAGTTGCGAAAGATCAGGGGACAGAAGAAAGTCCTCCCTTTCCACGAGGCCCTTTCCGCTTCTCTGCAGGGAAGGAGACCAACATATCTTCTAGCCACTTGGCTCTTACTCACCAGGGACACTCTCTCTACAGCCCCTTCCCAGTTCCCAAGACTCCCATCCCATTTCCCTGTCCCCAGAGCACCTCTGCCTGCCCCATTCTCCCTTGTCCTTAAAAGTAGGAGTTTTAGGTAGAACTGGGAAACTGTCCTCTGAAACTAGTCTCTGCCTGACTTTTACCTTCAGCAATAGGGTAAGGACCCATGGAGTGGGACCAAATACAGAAGGGGGACCTGGTAGGGGAGCTGGAGGTGCTGCACACTCCCCATTCCTGAGGTTATAAAAGAGCTTCCTTCCAGAATATCACAATAAGGGGCAAGCTGGGTGGTTTCCCTCCTCCCGTGTTCTGTAGCTGCATTAATGGCCCAGGGGAGCCCAAGACATATGCCTTAAATGGGGCTAGGTTTTAAATCCTTTATGACCCATGGTCTGAGTCTTTGGAGAAATATAGACTAACTTGCTAAGACTCGTGGGACCCAGAATCATAGATATCATTAATCACCCATGTCAATGTTTTTTTTTTTTTTTCCTCTGAAAGGATTTTTGCTGCTGCTATTGTTATAGGAAAACATCTGACAAATTATGTTAAGAAATAAATGTTCAGGGCACAAAGCCTTAAAAGTGTAAGGATCCCTGCAAATTGTGAGGAGGCAAAGATCAATGCCCTGGTGTCAGGTCCACCAAACTGTGGGACCTCTGGCAATGGCTTACCTGCCCATCTGCTTGGGCTGCCTCAGTTTCCTCATCTGCAAAATGGGCATACCTCCTCTTCCTCATCAGGTTGTAGTAAGGACTGAAAAGGACTGTGTGGGAGGAGAGACTGGGGATGGGAGAGTGTGTGAGGGACAGCCGTGACCCCTGACACTGTCGTTGGGGGCCCTGGGTAGCTAGCACTTCCTGGCACTGCTCAGGCACTTCTGTGAATTCCCCTTCATGCACAAACAGGTAGCTGGTGGTCATACCCAACTCTCACATCTGCCCCCAACCACTGAGGTGCTCACATATGGCGACACATCTCCTGCAGCTTCTCCCGGACCTCAGGGCAGGGGTCGCTGAACTCCACACTGTCAGAGGCAGACATTCCAGCTCCTCGTTGAAAGGACAACACGGTTATATCTTCTAAGTTTTTTGATTTACCTGTTACTGAAGAGTAAGAGGTTAGAGAGGGAATTTTAGGGAGTGGTTTCTTAAGACATCATGCTCAGATGGGGATGCGGTGGCAGGGAGAGCAGGAGAGCAGTATCTTCTGATGGTCAAAGTAACTGGGGGCATCATTCATGGTTTCCAGGGACAGGAATCCCTGGAAGATCACTTGTAACACAGAGACGTTGCTCTGCAAGTCAATTAAGCATGCATAAGGAACAAATGTGTGCAGAGTGATGAGCCCAGCCATGTTTCCCCAGGACGGCCTGTGCATGTGAGTGCCATGGGGGCTGAAGTGATTCTCTTCTGACACTTCTGATTAAAGACAGAAGGTCTCAGGGGCACCTGGGTGGCTCAGTCGGTTGTGTCTGACTCTTGATTTTGGCTCAGGTCATGATCTCAGGATTATAAGATCAAGCCCCCCATCAAGCTCCAGCTGTGTGTAGAGCCTGCTTGAGATTCTCTCCCAAGGCACCTGGGTGGTACAGTTGGTTAAGCATCTGACTCTTGCTTTTTGCTGAGGTCATGATCTCAGGATTGTGGGACTGAGCCCCATGTGGAGTCCTACATAGAACCCTCCATGGAGCCCTGCATCAGACTCCGCGCTCGGTGGGAAGTCTGCTTCTTTCCCTCTGCCTATCCCCTACCCCCCTACACACACACACTCTCTCTCTCTCTCTCTCTCTCTCTCTCTCTCTCAAAAAACAAACAAACAAAAAGGCAGAATGTCTCAACTCCATCTCAATCAACTGTAACACTTTTCTGATGTTGGCTAACCTCAGGCCTTCAATGAAGGGTAGTGTATATCGACTGAGACTTGGACTGAAATTATTTTTTTTATATATATATATTGTGGTTAAAAACACCTCACAAAAATTTACCATCCTAACCATTCTTACTGTGGACAGCCTCGTGGTATTAAATACATTCACACTGTTGTACACCCATTGTCTATTTAGTCTGAATTATAATTATCAGATATATGATTTACAAATATTTTCTCCCATTCTGCCTTTTTACTTTATGGATAGTGTCTTTCGATGTACAAAATTTAACATTTTCACAAAGTCCAATTTGTCTATTTTTAAATTTTATTTTTTAAATTTCTTTTCAGTGTTCCAGAATTCATTGTTTATGCACCACACCCAGTGCTCCATGCAATACGTGCCCTCCACAATTTGTCTATTTTTTTTGTTGCTGTACCATATCTAAGAAATAATTGCCAAGTCCAGTATCATGAAATTTTGCCTATATTTTCTTCTAAGAATTTTATTGTTGTAGGTCTTATATTTAGTACCTTGTTCCATTTTGAGTTAATTTTCAGATATGGTATTAGGTAAAGATCCAACTTCATTCATTTGCTAGTGGAAATCCAGTTTTCTCAGTGCTATTTGTTGAAAAGACTGGATGCCCCATTAAATGGTCTTAGCATCCTTGTCAAAACTGACCATATATACAAAGATTTATTCCTGGGGTCTCTCTTCTATTCTGTTGGTCTATACATCTGTCTTTACATCAATACCATGCCATTTTGATTACTGTATCTTTGTAGTAAGTAATGAAATCAAGAAATGTGAGTCCTCCAATTTTTTGTTTTTTTTAAGATTGTTTTGGTTCTTCAGGGGTCCCTTGAGATTCTATATGAATTTTAAGATGAATTTTCCTATTTCTGTAAAAAAAAATCATTAGGATTTTGATAGGGATTGCTTTGAATCTGTAGATCACTCTGGATAGTATTAACATTTTAACAATTTTAACTCTTCCAATTCATAAACATAGCATATGTTTCCATTTAATTTGTTTCTTCTTTAATTACTCCCAGCAATGCTTTGTAGTTTTCATTGTACAAGTCTTTCATTTCCTTGGTTAAGTTAATTCATAAATATTTTGCTCTTTTTTCTGCTCTTGGAGTTGTTTTGTAATTTCCTTTTCAGAGTGTTCATTGTTTGCATATGGAAATGAACGGATTTGTGTGTTATATCCTGCTACTTTGATGAATTCATTTATTCTAACAGGTTTTATTGTGTGGAATCTTCATGGTTTTCTGTATAAAAGATCATATTATCTGCAAACAGATAATTTAAATTCTTCCTTTCTAATTTGAATGTCTTTTATTCCTTTTTCTTGTCAATCTTGCTTTGGCTAGGACTTCCAGTTCGGTATTGAATAGAAAGGGGTGAAAGTGGATATCTTTGCCTTGTTTCTGATCTTAAAAGCTTTCAGTCTTCCACTACTGAGTATGATGTTTATGTCTTTATGTTTTTCATATATGACTTTAACCATGTAAAGGTAGTTTACTTCTATTTACTTCACTTTTTTTTAATCATGAAAGAGTGCTGAATTGTCAAATGATTTTTCTGCATCAATTGAGATAATCATGTGGTTTTTTCCCCTTCATTCTGTGACTGAGTTTTGTGTGTTGAACCACCCTTGCATTCCAAGAATAAATCCTGCTTGGTGTCATGGTGTATAATTCCTAATGTGCTGTTGAACTCTGTTGTTAGTGTTTTGTTGAAGATTTTTGATTCAATGTTCATAGAGGATATTGTCTGTGGTTTTCTTTCGTTGTAATGCCTTTGTCTGATGCTGGCTTCACAGAATGAGTTGGGAAGTGTTCCCTCTTCTTTTTTGGGAAAAGTTTGAGAATGATTGTAATTAGTTCTTAAAATCCTTGGTAGAATTTGCCACTAAAGCTGTCAAATCTAGGGCTTTTCTTTGTTGGGAGTCTTTTTTTTTTTTTTTTAAAGATTTATTTATTTACCTTAGAGAGAGTGTGAGTTGGGGGTAGTGGCAGAGAGGGAGGGAGACAAGCAGACTCCTGGCTGAGTAGGGGAGCTCGATGTGGGGCTCAACCACAGGACCCTGAGATCATGACCTGAGCTGAAACCAAGAATCAGATGCTCAACTGACTGAGCCATCCAGGTGCCCCTTTGTTGGAGATTTTTGATTATTGATTTAATCTCTTTAGTATCTATAGGTCTATCAAAATTTTCTACTTCTTCCTGATTTAGTTTGGGTAGGTTTTGTGTTTCTAGAAATCTGTCCATTTCATGCAAGTTATCCAATTTGTTGGTGTACAATTGTACATTGTATGCTATCATAATCCTTTTTTTTTTTGGTAGAATCAGCGGTAGAGTACCCACTTTCAATTCATTTTAGTAATCGAGTCTTATCTCTTTTTTCCTTAGTTGATCTAGCTAAAAGTTTATCAATCTTGTTGATCTTTTCAAAGAATCAACTTTTGATTTCAGTGGGTTTTTAATTCTCTCATTTCTCTCTGTTCTAATCTTTATTCTTTCCTTTTCTAGCTTTGGTTTTAATTTTTTCTTTTTCTAGTTCCTTAAGTTGTAAATTTAGGTTTTTTAATATGATATCTTTCTTATCTTTAAATGTAATCATTTGTGACTATAAATTCTCCCCCTTAGTACTACTTCTGCTGCATCCTGGAGGTTTTGGTTTATGATGTTCTCATTTTCATTCATCTCTAAATATTTTCTAACTGCTCTTGTTCTTCTTTAATGTGTTGGTTGTTTAAGAATGTTATTTACAGGGCACCTGGGTGGCTCAGTTGGTTAAGCATCTGACTCTTGATTTTGGCTCAGGTCATGATCTCAGGGCCATGAAATTGAGCCCCGTGTCAGGCTTGGCACTCAGTGCAAGTCAGTTTGAATTTCCCTCTCCCACCTCCTTTTCCCTGCTCTCTCTCTTTCTCTAAAAATAAATAAAATATTTAAAGAATGCATTATTTACTTTCCACAATATTGTGATTTTTTTTTCTAATTTTCCTTCCGTTATTGCTTTCTAACTTCATCCTACTTTGGTCAGAAAAGATACTTTGTGTGTTATCTGTTTTTTTTAATTGATTGAGACAATCTGTGGCCTAACATATGGTCTCTTCTGAAAAATGGCCCATGTGCACTTGAGAAGAATGTGTATTGTTTTTGTTGTTTTCTAATTGATTTATTCTGTTATTTAAGTCCTTTATTTCCTTATTTATCTTCTGCCTGGTTGTTTTTCCATTATTGTGAGAAGGGTATTGAAATTTCCAAACATTATTGTAGAACTGTCTTTAATCTGTCAGTTTTTGCTTCAGATAGTGTTATGATCTGTCATTAGGTGCACAAACATTTATATTATCTCTTTGTTGTACTGAAACTTTTATTAACACAGTGTGTCCTTTGTCTCCTGTAATGTTTTTGATTTAAAATTTTTTGTCTGATACTAGTATTGCTATCCCTGCTCTCTTTGGTTACTCTTTGCATAGAATATCTTTTTCCATCCTTTCTTTTTTCCTTTTTAAGAAATTTTAATTCAATTAGCCAACATATAGAACATCATTACTTTCACATTTTTTCTCATTCTTTCACTTTCAACCTGTTTTGAGTCTTTGGATCTCAAGTGACTCTCTTATAGGCAGCATATTGTTGGATCATGTGTTCTTATCCATTCTGCCAATCTCTGTCTTTTGATTGGACAGTTTAATCCATTCAACTTAAAGTAATTGCTGATGAAGGGCTTCTGTTATTGTAGTTTTTGTTTACTATATGCCTTATGGCTTTTGCCCCTCATATCTTTCAATACTGTTTCCTTTATATTGATTGTCATAAAAGGTTTAAATTCCTTTCTCATTTGCTTTTTGGTATATTCTATGGCTATTTTCTTTGTGGTTACATTGGGGATATCATGGGGAATTACATTTAACATCCTAAAGTTCTAAAACTCTAATTTGAATTTTTGCCAGCTTAACTTCAGTAACACAAAAAAAACTCTCCTCCTTTACAGATTTATCCTCAACCCTTTCAGCCACCACAAGATCACAGCTTTATATACTATGTGCACCAAAACATAAAACAACAATGCTCTTAAATGTATGTCTTTTAAATTACATAGTAAATAAGATTTGTACTTACCAACCAGAGTTACAGTAATACTTTTACACTAACAATTTTTCTTTAATGTCTCTTAAATCATGTAAAAAACAAAAAGTACAGTTACAAACCAGTTACAATAATACTAGCTTTTATAATTGCCCATATATTTACTTTTATTGAGATCTTTATTTCTCCATACAACTTCAAGGTACTATCTAGTGTCCTTTCATTTCACCTCGTGGGACTCCCTTGAGCACTTCTTGAAGGGTAGGTCTAGCAATCATGAACTCCCTAGGGTTTTGACAATCTGGGAAAGTTTTAATAGTTCCCTCACTTTTGAAGGACAGTTTTGCTGAACATAGGATTCTTGGCTGACAGGTTTTTGGGTTTTTTTCCCCCCCTTTTAACACTCTGAATATACATGCCCAGAGGCCACATGCCTTGCAGCTTCCAAAGTTTCTGATGAGAAATCTGCTGATAATGTTGTTGAGAATTCCCTGGATGTAATGATTTGCTTTTCTCTTGCCGCTTTCCAGGTTCTCTGTCATTGTCTTTCGAAAGTTATAATGTGTCTTGGTGTGGGTCTCTTTGAGTTCATGTTGCCTGGAGTCTGTCAATCTTCTCTGATGTTTATATTCACATCTTTCATCAAGTTTGGGAAGTTTTTAGCCAACATTTCCTCAAATATTCTCACTGTCCCTTTCTCTCTTCTTCTGAGACTCCCGCAATGCACATGTATTCTCCTTGATGGTGTCCCACAGATAACCTTAGGCTCCATTCATTTTTTTTTAAAGACTTTTTATTTATTTGACAGAGATCACAAGCAGGCAGAGAGGCAAGCAGAGAGAGAGAGGAGGAAGCAGGCTCCCCGCAGAGCAGAGAGCCCGACGCGGGACTCCATCCCAGGACCCCGAGATCAAGACCCGAGCCGAAGGCAGAGGCTCAACCCACTGAGCCACCCAGGCGCCCCGGGGTTCCATTCATTTTTAAAAAACATTTTCTTTCTGTGCTTCAAATTCAGTAATTTCAACAGTTCTATCTTCAACTTCGCTTACTCTTTCTTCTGCCTGCTCAAATCTGTGGGTGGCAATGTTTTGTGCCTATTGCACTTTTTTTTCACAGTTAACCCCTTATGGCAAGTATTAGTTGGTATAAGGATATGGTGACATGAAATCGTGGAGGTGGTCTTCCATGACTGAAATTCCAGGGGCATCTGCTGAGGTCCACATGTTTCTGAGCCTCTGCTGCCCACCCAACTGGAGCCACAGGCTCTCCCTTAATATATGCAGGATGAATGAAAACTGGTTCTAAGCCAAAGCCTCTGCTCAGGCTCCAGCTGAGCCCTGAGCACCTCAGAATGAAGTCTTCTCACTGTCAGCAAGCCTTGGGGTTTCTGGCTGGTGCTTGAATACCATCTCTGGTATCTGCACCATGACTGGTTTCTGGTCCCTTCCCCCAATCCTCCTGCCACCAAAGACCAGAGGCCCAGCTAGCAGCTGGCTGACCTCCTGGAACATCTTCTAGTCTGACCATTCATGTCTGGCTTGGCCCTAGGTGCCCTGAGTTCTTGAGGATGACAGCCTCTTGCTCCAGCCGGAACCATTGTTGATAGACTTCTCTCAGTTCTTCTTCATAATGCTGGGCTACTTTCCAGACATAGCTGCTCTCCCCTCAGGGAGTAGGCTCAACTCTTGAAGCCTGTCTGCTCCAAGTGTGCCTGGCCCTAGAACTGCAAAGGGGGCAGTTGGTAAGGTATCATAGCACATGTGCATGAACAGATAGCAGAGGTCCAAAATTCAAAGCGGTCTAAAGCCAGAATAATTCTACAATATGTCCAAACTGGGAAAGTAATTTTTAGAGTGAAAAATGAGCATCACTAATTGTTATGTCAGGAAGATAAGCATAAATTGGGACATTCCTGGGGAAGATATATCACATGGTTACTTATAAACTATTAGGAAAAGTTAACCATCCATTCTAGCATGCATGTGTGAGATGAATTTCTGAACACATCAAGAACCTATAAGAAATGCAGCACTGTGAACACACATCTAGTGAGAACAATGCAATATCATGATGACAAATCACATCTTGGTAGGGTAGCAGAGGAAAACAACTAGACAGACAAAGAGACAAATAGAAAGCATCACCCTCAAGGTCATTAGAAAGAAAAATCATGAAATCTCTGTGTATCTTGAAGATAACTTTGTTTTCTCTCAAAGGGATTGTGTTTAATTATGGCCAGATCAGGAGTGGATATAATAAAACCAGGAGCACATAATGTAGGATGTTAGAAATGATGCTGTGGGTTACTGCAGGGGTAAAGGAACTGGGGAAACAGGACAGCTGAATCTACTTCAAGCAAGGAAGCTGAAGAAGTCAGCTCCATTTGGGAGGGTATTGTCTTAGAGTCCACATGTGTACCCCCAGGATTTAGAACAGTGAATGACAACTAGCAATTGTTCACTAACTGAAAGGATATAGGATCAGCTTGATATGGAGATGAGGTCTGGCAGAAGGCAAATCACACAGCCATGAGGATGGGTCAGAAGTAGTATCCAAACTTCTCAACTTCCAGACTTACCTCCAGTGTCTGTGGGAATCAAATGGACAGTCTTTGAACATTCCCACCTTATGTTGATCCTCCCACCACCTCTTTGCAAATACATCCCTCCCTTGCCTACCCCATTCCTCCAACTGCCATCACAGCTGGTTGGGTAAGGTGGTGGGGAGATAACCAGAAGTTCCATGAGACCCTGCCCTGCCCTCTCCAGCTCCAACTTCTTTCTCCTCTGAGCTTCTGGCTGCATGGTTGCTGCTATACTGTTTGGTCTCATCTGCCACCTGCTCTTTCTCTTAAGCCTTTCTTTCTGTTTTGTGTCTTCCTCAGTGGAAATAGCAGGACCCTCTCTCTTTCTCTTCTTCCTACATGAACTGGCCCAATTGGAACATTCTGTTAGGTCTGGTATCCAAATGCCTCTCTTCAGATACTGGTTGCCCAACCTACTGTGTGAGCAGGAGGAACACAGATCTCTCTCTGAGGAGATAAGTTTGGGATACTGAAGGTGTGGAAGATGTGGGTTTGATAGGGATGTTGTCCCAGGTGAATCAGGGACATGTTTAAATGTGATGTGAATCACACCACCAGGAATGGAGGGCATGTAAACAGTCAAATGATGAGACTGCATTGCGGAGTGACTGGGTTAGATGTATTGAATTTCATGAGACAGAATCTATGTCAATAGCTTCGGCCAACAGCCAAGACAGCCATTAATCCTTCCTATCAGAAAACTAAATCAAGCCATCTCATCAACCTACACTGGGAATCCTCTATCCCTCTCTCCAGCTCCACCCCCAAAGATTGGCTAAGAGGTCTTGATGGGATCTTCTGTTACCTGTTTTCTTTTCCTTTCTTTTTTTTTTTTTTTTAAGATTTTATTTATTTGACAGAGAGAGAGAGAAATCACAAGTAGGCAGAGAGGCAGGCAGAGAGAGAGGGGGAGGAAGCAGGCTCCCTGCGGGGCAGAGAGCCCGACTCGGGGCTTAATCCCAGGACCCTGCTGGGATCATGACCTGAGCCGAAGGCAGAGGCTTTAACCCACTGAGCCACCCAGGC